TAACGTCAGTGCTAAAATAAGTAGGTATCATGTAAACGAACATTTGTTATACAGTACCTACTTACGCACGCGGTTTAATGCGTCTATTAGATGATCCGCGCAGCATGCGAAATAAGATTTAAAACAAAAAGAATCACGCATTCATGCAACGTAACGTAGCATCGCAAATAAATCTTGATTAACAACAAAAGAATACAATGATTAATTGCAAATTATTGTAAACAAACGTGTTACCCATTCGGCCACCGTCTGTAGATACGCAAGAACGGACGGCGACCTCTAAAACTGATTTATTTCCTGACCGGTCTCTTTTAGTCCCGCTCTGACTTCGTGTTCGAACCCATAACCTTTATTATATTAGTAGTTACTTTAACCACACGGTCACATTGTATCACGGTACCTTTTAAAGGACGCACGTTGGGATGTATAAATCGAGAAGTTTTCTCGAGCTTTATTACGACTCTATAGGTGTTAATTTAACTGTGAGTAATGTGTGTTTATTTTAATTTTTTTTTAATTTTATTTATCAATGATCCAAGTGATTAAAACTACATTAAAGTAACGTTAACGTTTAAAAACTTTATGTGTGACTACACTTGTCTGAAATTCAGGTAAAAACCATGTTTTTTTGGAACATTACAAACAAAAAATACAATATAGTTGTATATTATTACGAGTATATTATACATTATAACTATAGAATACAAGCAATAGTTATATAGTTTGACTTTTATACGTTGTAATTGATAATGTAATGTAAAAAAAAAGGTAAATTTGATCACAAAAGAACAGTGTAATCTATCACCCCGGAGTAGTGTAGCGTTTAATCAGTGAAAATATTTTCAGAATCGAATCACTGGTTTCAGATATTACCTCCAACAAACAAACTTCATCACCGTCATCATCATCATTACATCCCATAAAAGTTTACCGCTGAACACCGGCCTTTCTATAGATTGCTTCTGTCATTTTCGGCTTCGCATTTCCTCTGTACGTACGATATCCATGGAATGACGTAGAGTAGTGGATTATCTTACGCCGCAATACACAATGAACATACAAACAATTTTACTTATATTTTCATATATAATTCTTCTGTCCGTGTGTAAGTGAGTGAACTCCTCCTAAACGGTTGTAGCGATTTTGATGAAATTTTGTTTGTGATTAAGATTTAAATTCATAATGATGAGGTGGCACTATTGTTGAGATCCAGAAATCGTCCGAGCGATGCCGGGGCGGATCGCTAGTTTATGCTACAAGTGTGTTATTAAGCGGTTACGTCTTTCATGCAATACGCTCAAAGAAACTTCGTCGGACGTCAGTGCAAATTTTAAACATCATCTCATATAACAAGTGTTTATTAGTGATCTGTCTGTAATCGTATGCATTGTTTGTGCCCAGCCCCGTTCCGCTAGTTGCCCGCTCCTATTATTTATAAATTACCACCTCATTTTATATAAAACCTTTCATAAAAACATTCAAATAATGCTGAAAATTCGCAAAATATCAAAATTAAGTATAGTTCCATTGTGTTCGAATGAATGCCCATTCCCATCTATTGTGTTACACGAAATCGCTGAACTCTGCCAGTTAAAAACGGAATTTGTGAATTTTTCACATACCTATAAAAAGGAGTTAGTTTTCTACTCAACTATGTTTTTATAATGTATTTATTATAACTTTAAAAACCAAAAGAAAAATAGATAACGTTACTTAGCAGATTTTTTTTTGTTAATTTCGTAGCAAACGAGTCTAGTCGAATGTAAGATTTGAAATTATCAAATTTCTTTTTTCATTTTCATTTTTGTAATTATCTTTAATAAAAATAAAATGAGAAATCATTAAAACACAAAATTCAAATTTTAATAAAAGTAATACACAAATTCAAATAGGTAACAAAAATAATTATAGAAATTCACATTCCGAAGTCGTTGCTACGGCAAAGAAGAATAATGAGAAGAATGAGGGCTAATAATTTCCTGTTCACCAGATGTCGCTAGTTGACAATGAGGTAAAGTTTTTTGTTACACTGTAAATTTAATTGAGAAGTTGGTTTTTAATAAAAGTTTATCAGTTTCTAGAGAATTATATCAATACACAAAACAATGCGTCAGTGATTTGCTCTTTAAGTTTTTGCACATTTTTAACTTTTTTTTATTTGTTTTGTTTTATTTATTTTTAATCTTATTAATATAAAATATGGCTAATAGTACAGAAAGAAACAATAATCTTTACATTTTCCGTAGGGTATATTTTTAATATTTCAATGTCAAATGAAATCTGTTGTAATGTATATGGTTATATTGTAAAAAGTAACTCATAGGCATACTCATAGGTATATTTAATAATTAAAATGTACTGATGAATCTGAACTAAACTGAAACTAAAGTTGTCTGTAAATGTCCATGGACTGCAATGGCCACTAAGCATCGGGTGGATCGTAAGTTCGATTGTCACTTTAATTTTATTAAAAAAATATACAAATATAACATTTAATAATTTATTTTTATAAATTATTAAATGTTATTTTTATAAATTATAAAATTGTTAAATGAACAGACACAAGCTTGTAGTACCAGTTACTCGACTCCACCGAGTCAGTAATTCATTCTTGGGACGATGTATACGCTTTTACAACAAAATCCCAGATAAAAAATATACAAAATTCGACCTGCTCAAAGTTCAAAAATTTATTACAAAAGTTTGTATAAAAAGGGTTATTATAATATTAAGGAATTTATGGATGATAATAGCCCCTGGATCGCTACCAAGCTATTTCCAATTTTTTTGTTCCAAGTTTTGTGTGGTTAATTGATTAACATACATGATTATAAGCTGTTATTTAAAAAAAAAGTCCCGCTGGGTTTCTTGCTAGTTCTTCCCAGGACCAGGTAATTAAAGAAAAGAGTGAATTTCAATAAGTATTATTTATAATCTATATTGAATAAAAAAGTTTCTGTTTCTGTATAATTTGTTTGAAATTTAATGATTATGTTTCATATAATGTATATGATCATTATCTTGCATAAATTTAAATCACTTAATTTAAATATATTTGTTATCATAATAATAACATTTTAAAGAAGTTTATTCGATTATTGTATGACTCCGATGGCTTAACATAGCTGGTACATTTCTTGTTTATTTTTATTTTCACATCATTATTATAAACATTAACGCGCTTAAAGCTTCTTCAGCCGACTTACAATAAGGTCCTTCATAGCTCCGTGGCGTAGTGGCTTAGCAACAAGTTGCAGCGCTAAGTAGAGCGTTTGAATCCCGCAAGTATTTGTGTGTCCTACAAATAACTGTTCCGGGTCTGGATGTATGTCCTAGTAAATTTTATTCACGCAAACTTCCTCCACAATACAGGAGAAAATCCCAGTGTGGAGGTAACGTTTATAAAAATATAAAAAATAGCATGTTTGTCACTATACCAATAATTTTAGATAATTTAAAACCAGTTCAAACCATAATAAGATGTAATCATGTTGTGTTTCAAAACGTTATTCTAGATGTGAATTTGATATTAAATAGTATATGACGTCAATGATTCTCATTCAAATATGTTGAATTTTAGGTGATAATAATGCAAGAGTTTAAAAAAATTTAAACAACACGTATTGATCATTGCGTTGTACATACATACATACATAAACACTCACGCCTGTCACCCAGAGGGGTAGGCACCGACTACGGACTTCTATTTGGCGCGATCCTGACACCTCTCTCGCCTCTTTTACATCCATATATCTACGCATACACGCCGATTTGGTCGATAAACCTACGTCTAGGGCGTCCCTTCCCGACCCTGCCGTTCAATGTTGTTTGCGTTGTAATGATCCTGATAATTATACTATTTTATTTCATTCTGGTGATCCTGATCAGAAATTAGGATAATAGGATAAAGTTATTATTAGGATTATTATATTGCAAATTTTCAAGTAAATCAGCCGTCTACAAGTTGGTGAGAATTATATTAAAGATTCCATTACATATTATATATATAGATAGATAGATACACGCGAAGCTAATAAAAGCGTATTAAATACAAAATAAATGTTAAAAACACACTGCTCTGTTTATTTATATTGTTTTTATCTCGCAGACGTCAGATAGAAAAGCAGGCGTCCAGAATCGTCTAATTATTTATTTACGACGCCCCGTGGGCGGGCATTAGTTGACGACGCTGGGAAAGTAGATGTACGGGTGTATAGTTATTAAATTTCACGATGAAGTTTTGACTTTGGTTGTGTTAGCCGTGCACATACACATTGTGTTAGTGTGCGTAGGCCTCGGGAGCGCTACGCGTAACCTATGGCGATACTCTTTTCCGCAACCTAGACACACTAACACAACGTGTATGTGCACGGCTAACACAACCAAAGCCAAAGCGTCATCGTGAAATAGAATAACTAATACAGACGGCTGCGATCTGTGTCAATGTCCTCGTTACGATATTGTAAACAAAAAGTTTTGGAACGGTATCAATGTGACGACAATAGAATATTTTTTTATTCAATATAGATTACAAGTACCTAAATTCTTATTGAAAGTCATTTTTTACTTTTACCACCGGTTCGGAAAACACCTGTCCTGGAAAAAAATGGAGGAAATTATGCAATAACAGTTGTACAAACTACCTACAAAATTTATTACCCAGGAATTACCAAATTATTATCAAAATACCAACCTCAAAATATATTTCATTGAAGATTTAGCACAAATGGGTCGGCTCGACCGGGGAAGGTCACAGAATACCAGCGTAAAATAGCACCTTAATGCTACTGTGTTTCGTAGAGAACCGGAGACCCTTTTTACTGGAAACGAGGCATTTCATCTTAGTCCTCAAGGATGGTATCTGCATTTTGATCCTTAATCGAGGATAAGTGTTGATGTCTGTGCGTCACACCATCCACTTACTAGGTGGACTGTGTGCTCGCTTGTCACCCTTATTCTTTAGGAAAAGATGATTCTACCTAGTATTGTTAACTCTACAGGTGCTGGCGGCGCTGGCCGCGCAGTCCATCAATATATCGGTGGGCTTCTGCCAAGGCTTCTCGGCGGTGCTGCTGCCCCAGTACACCCACGAGCACCCTAACATCACATACGAGCAGAGCTCATGGATCGGTAAATTTGTTTATTTTTTTTATACTTTATTATTAGTCTCAAATAAAAATGATACACAGGTTCCGATGGAATCCTAGTTCCTGAACTATCAATCCTGTATATCAGGAGCGTGTTCCTTCTATAATTTATGCACAAACAATATTAACATTCATTATAAATTTCATTTCAATTTAATTACCTTCTACTTTACTTTATCCAAAATTTATTTTTATTAAAGGAAGAAAAAAAACTTTTATTTGGATCATACAAACAAAAACATGCAGATGTATAAATTTAAAAAAAAACTGATAATACCTATAAGAATTACGAATTGTATTTATTATGATTATAAAAGAATTGTCACTCAGGATATACAGAGGTGTATTTAAAAAATACTATCTCGCCCTGATTTTCCGTAGTTCCTAATTATTTTTTTTTATAGGATAGGGTGACAAACGAGCACACAGTCCACCTGATGGTAAGTGGTTATTGTGACCCATAGACATCTACATCTATCCTCAATAAAGACTCAAGATGCAGATGCGTTGTCACCCGTGAGGACTAAGATGGAATGCCTCTTTGCCAGTAAAAAGGGTCTCCGGTTCTCTACGCTCACCATACGAAACACAGCAGCGTTAAGCTACTATTTTACGCTGGTTTTCTGTGAGAGCGTGGTCCTTCCCCGGTCGAGCCGACCCATTCGTGCTACAATTATACTACTAATATGGCTCTACCACGTGTAAAAAATTATAAATCTTTCTTCTAATTTCGTATATAATATACAAATAAAATGGATAAAAATCTTTAAATATCAAATTCTTCGGTACATATGTTTGTTACTCAACTCCCCTTAAACGGCTGGACCGATTTAAATGAATTGGGTGTTTAAATCCCTAAGATCCTGAATGGTTTAAATTTACAATTGGACTCGGTAGGTGGCGCTGTTTTCAAGATCCTTAAACCAGTTATACAATGTATAAAAGATACTTAGGTCTTTCATTTGCGATTTTTTAATTCAAGTACTTTCATTCATTTCTATTGGTTTCGATGCGAGAAGTTATCGAATCCGAGTCGATTTCGCTTTCCGAGACGATTGTGAATAGCCCGGCTGATGGTAAGTGGTTGCTGTGGCCCATACACGTCTACATCTATCTTCGTTTGCGAATTAAAATGCAGATGCGTTGTCAGTTGTGAGGACTAAGATAGAATGCCTCTTTTCCAGTAAAATGGGTCTCCGGTTCTCTGCACTCACCATACGAAATACAACGGCATTAAGCTGCTATTTAAGCTGGTTTTCTGTAAGAGCGTGGTCCTACCCCGGTCGAGCCGACCCATTCGTGCTACAACCGTAATATAGCTGCAGCGTGGCTCTATCACGTACAAGATGTGATAACTGATGCACTTTTTACACGGTTATCACATAAAACATCAACTAGGAAAGCATAAACAGCAGTACGTATTATTGAATGAATCGGTCAGAATGATGTTTACAGTTTATTTTAGTCACACTGAGACGTGCCAAATTTGCATATATGTACCGCTTAATAGACTTTCATTAAAAACAACGATATCGAATGAAATAATGTCTAATGGCCGGTTTATGTTGTCTTAGTCTTTAGGAGAGAAATTTAGCAGAGTATTTATTAAGCGTTTAGTGATATACTAAACGCTTTAGTACTCTGTATTCCTTTCTACAAAAATTAAATAGAACCTCTTTTGATTTTTTAGCCGACTTAAAAAAAGGAGGAAGTTTACAATTACACTATAAAATGTTCATCTTTTTTTGTATATACATACATATATTACGTGATATGTACATATACGTATATATACGTGTCAGTTGTGAATGGCATAAACATACTTCTGGATGTTTAATAATATATCTAGCCTAGGCACAGTCCGCCTACAAGAATAAGGACACCGCAAGGTCTCAGAAATGAGAGGAGGAATAGTAGCATGTACCCAGCTGTTAAATTTGAGATTATTTATATTAATTAAAAGCTTAACGCTTGAGTAACATAGTCATAGAAAAACAGATTATTTATTTATTCTTAATTGTACAACTTAAATAATGGGTTACAAACCCGGGACGTATGGAAATAATGTGATAGATGAAAAAAAGCATTATTGTAATTGAGGAAAACGTAAAACTCTACTAAATAAATGAATCAATATTCATCAGAACATAGTCGGCAAAGTAAACACGCTAAGGCACCGTATATCCCATACGTATGTTGCTGATAAGAGGTACTTTTCCCCTATTCTATAGTCATAATATGCTTTGTGCATTCCGGGGCACGAATCAGCAATATGACAATAAATTGTAACATAAAAGCATTAGCTGAGCGAAAATAAATGACAAGAAGAAAACAATGAAGCTAAACGGAATAGGAGTTGACGAGTTTAGAGTTGATGAGTTTATTTTTATTGTAGGATTTAAAAAAAAACTATTAGAATTGCTCCAACACTAGACTTTTTTTCTGTGCCGTGGAGAGACAACAAGTGATAGATGGATGGATAGATGGTGGAGATTATATGTGGTACAGCCACGCTGCATCTATATTAGTTGTAGCACGAATGGGTCGGCTTGATCGGGGTAGAACCACGCTCTCACAGAATACCAGCGTAAAATAGCAGCTTAACGTGTGTGTAGAGAAACGGGAACCCTTTTTACTGGAAAGAGTGATTCTATCTTAGTTCTTAGGGGTGACAACGTATCTGCATTCTGATTTGCAAACGAAAATAGATTTAGATGTCTATGGGACGCCGCATCTACTTACCTGGACTGTGTGCTCGTTTATCGCCCTTTGTTATAAAAAAAATATATCTATTGAATAGATTCTAAACGAAGTGTTTTGCCCGCAGCCAGTCTTGGTGTTATTTCAAACCCCATCGGTGCGCTTCTCGGCGGCATGATGGTGGACGCGGTGGGCAGGAGGCTGCTGCTCCAGTCCATCGTCCTGCCCAATTTGATAGGCTGGCTGGTCATCGCTTTCTCCGAGGCGTATGTCTTCCTGTGTGTCGGACGATTCATCACCGGATTTACCATCGGTGAGTTAATATATAAATTTAATACCTATTAAGCTTTAAATTAAGTTATTTCTTACGTTTACGCGACAATTACATATTAAATGAAAATGTAAAACTAGCTGCGAGAAGTCTGCAGTCTGTAAACACGTACAGGATCATCCCCGCCATTAAATCAGATTTAATGTACTACAAATCCTCGCAAAAAAAACACAGATTCCTCCCAAGGATGATTTGCGAGGGTATTGAAGTAAAAAATCTAAGTTCAATAGAGAAAATGGCTAGACGCTTCTATATACTTAGAAACCCAACCAACCCAAGCATACAACTGTAAAACTTCAAGATAATATAAGCTCGGTTTGCGTAGATTGGATCCAAAATTAATAATTTTAAACTGAGGGTAGCCGTGGTTAATTAGGACATTGGGTCGTGAAATACCTCTAACACCCCCCCCCCCCCTCCCCCTCCCCCGTGAACATAGGTGCCGTTAATACTCGAAACGTTAATAAAACGCGATGAAATCCGTAAAACTAGTTTCATTTCAATAAAGTTGGTAATTTAATATTTTTTTATTAAAAAAAAAAACTAGTAATGCTATTAAACATTACTAATATTCCCTTTAACCACTTCTGGTAAGCTTAAAATGCTTGTGTTAGAAGTGGTTCATTTTATTATTTCTTTAATTATCTTCTTTAATATCTTCTTTGTTTCTTAATATTATCTTCCTCATTCACTTTACTTTGTGGTTTTCATTCATTCCTTATTTATAATTTAGCCTATCAAGAGCCTCTTTAGAACATAGGTCTCCCCCATAGACTGCTTGACGGTCTGCCATCGGCAGGCATTGGTGACCTCAGTTTTTTATTAATATAAGTTATCATCAGGACAGTGCTGCTATCCTTACCTTGTTTCATTTCCTTCTGCCGCCTGTTATTACACTCACAGTAAGATAAGGACTCGTATCCTCTGTCTTCTTTTCAATATTCTACATAATCCTACTATTCCGCTATATCTAAAAAATCGTTTTAATTTTGTTCATTCTCCAGATGTACCATGTAGGTCAAATACTAGAACATTGTTAAGATTTCCGTCTTTCAATACCATGCTCTATTCTCATTCTTTTTCTGTTAACGCAGTACGATTGTGGAATTCACTTCCCTTTAGGATTCGTGATGCTAAAGCTGTGTCTATGTTTAAAAGACTTGTTAAAGAGCACTATGTATCACTCACTCCATAATTACTAAATCGTAATGTGTTGGTATGCATATAAGTAACATTAAAGATATATATTGAATTATATATATTTTTTATAATATATAATATTTATTTATATATGTATATACGTATATATATATATATATATATATATATATATATATATATATATAAGTTTGTATATATTTGTAAAGTATATGTATATTTATGCAAGTGCACACTTTGACTCCCTCTATTTCCCTCAACTATCCTTCAATAGGCCTGCTGGAAGAAATTTCATCATAGAATAAGCAGTGTCTTTGTACATAATTATGTTTTTATCATTTTCTTATCAAATTATGTGTGTACATAAAATGTTAAATAAATAAATAAGGGGTTTTTGATTATTGTACGCTGCCAATATATATAATAGACACTTGTGAATGCACTTGTTTCATCAACCCGTGATCGAACACTGATGATCATTGATCTGACACTTTATACTTTTCTACGTCAATCCGTAATAGTATATTGATGATCATTGACATCCTTCGTTTTGGTGACGATTTGGCGTAATTACCACGCTTGGGACAGTCGATAGTCACAATTACTGACGTCTCCCACCTTTGAAGATATACCCCACCCATTACCGGATCTGGGTATTTTTACTCCTGGCTTAAACGAAATAGTTATATGGCAGAAAGATTCCAAATTTTTCTGCAATCCATACTACTACTAATATTTTGGACACCCATGGGATGCAATAGTAAATGGGTTGCCATCACACAGCGCGTTTATTACCATGCCTGTATGTCATGAAAATACATAATATTATGTAAAGTATCTATATGGACAATTTTTTCCTTTTCAGGCATGTCAACAGCATCATACATATACGTTGCTGAAATAACAACACCTGAAAAACGAGGAGTTCTGAGCGCCGTTGGTCCGGGTTTGGTTTCGACGGGAATCTTCATCGTCTATTTCTTGGGAGCCTTCATTCATTGGAGGCATGTCGCCGCGATCTGCGCAGGCTTCTCCCTGCTCACTCCTTTCCTGATGTACTTCGTACCGGAGTCACCACTCTGGCTAGCATCAAAGGGACAAATGAAAGAGGCCTATAGCGCCTTGTTCTGGCTGAGACAAAACAACAGCACAGCGCAGCAGGAGCTGATGGAGTTCACGAAGGATCGGAAGACGAGTGAGAACATGACCTTCAAACAGAAACTCGGTCTCTTCAAGAGGCGTAACGTCTTGAAACCGTTCGCTTTATTGATTGTATTCTTCATTTTCCAAGAGATGTCGGGCATTTACGTTATTTTGTACTACGCGGTAGACTTCTTCAAGTCAGTCGGGACGAGTGTGAACGAGTTTACGGCTTCGATCATTGTTGGGGGCGTCAGAGTATTTATGGGCGCTGTGGGTGCTTGTTTGATCAACAGCTTCAGGCGGAAAACCTTGGCGACCGCCTCAGGTCTATTGCTAGGGGTCGCGATGCTCGGTGCAGCGATATGCGATACCTTAGACGGTCCGCCATTAATAAAACTTGCCTGCATATTGCTCCATGTCTCCTTCAGCATGGTTGGCTTCTTGCAATTGCCTTGGATCATGTCTGGAGAGTTGTACCCTCAGGATATTAGAGGTGTTATGTCTGGAGCCACTTCCTGTTGCGCTTACGTGTTAATATTCTTTAACATAAAGACCTACCCGCAGTTGGAATATTACATAACTAGTAATGGAACTTTGTATCTGTTCGCTGTGTGTGCGCTTTTAGGTGCGACGTACTGTCTTCTTTTCCTGCCTGAGACCAAGGGTATGACTCTGTCCGAGATCATAAGACAGTTTGAAGATGAGAAGAAAGAAGTCGACCCAGAAATCGGTTGTGATAAACAAAACAAAATAGAAGCTAGGCCTGTTCAAAGGCGGCATAGCGCCGGCGCGGCAGTTTCATTAGAGAAATGCGATATATTAACGCCGCGTTGGACGCAAAAGGAGACAGCAAAGAAGATGGCGGTTCACGAATAAGTTCCTAATGACTATCGGTTACGAGAGCTTGTAATTGTTTTAAGTGTTGTACAGTTTGTTTATATTTACAAATGGTCGTGATCAGTATTATAGAAGTTTCGAGTGATTATTTTATGTAGCTTTAGTGATTTATACACAACATTCCCTAGTTTAAATATACAAGGTGACGTTATAACGAATTATTTAAGTAATTTTTAGTACAAATGAAGTTCGTTGGTTTGGAACATAACACGGGCCACCGACAGACCGGAGGGGACAGCCATTCCCTTCTATCAAAGTACAAGTTCACATGGTCCTATGCTAACAATTATACTATTTGCAGCCGGACTATTCCATAGACAGAATCGACGTCCTACAAAACTACCAAATTGTTCAGTTTTTGCTGCAAAAAGAGATCTGTCAAGTCAAATTTACAATAAGATGTATAATATAAAGTAATTTTCATCATATTATTGCTATTTACTTCTTTTTAAATTTAAAAATTACAATAGTACTGTCGTGTTGTTTTAGATTTGTTTACCAACACAGGCCGCTTGCCCTCATACAATATGCAGATCGGTCGAGCAACTGATCCGAGTCTGTATCAGATTTGTCGCTTTTATCGAGCGATACTTTTATAATGTATCTATTCGTGTGTGATATTTTTAGTATATTATTTTAATTTTTAAGTGTGGGTTTCATAGTAACAGACGATTGTTTTTTATGTAGGCAGATTTCCGCCCGCAAAAATTACTGACAGTTCTATATCGGGAAAAACGCTATGGCTTCTCCCCTACGGTGCGCAGTTGGCCCGTGTTATGCTCTATGGTTTGGAATAGCATTGCAATATAGTGTGATTTTTTTAGTTAGAAACTACGTTATTATCACAACAGGGTGACTGCGTGCCTTATGGCATACTTACAAAATAATTTTTAATAATTATTAATACATTAAGATTAGCACAATAAGGCGATTTAAATGCTGTGATGATGTTGAATATGTTTAATTAATATTTTTGTGTGAATAAAATTGTGTGATGTTATTAATATTTGTTTTATTTATAATAAAAATTAATAAAAAAATGTGCCGTGATAAAGTATAATATTATAATAATATATAAATATAAATGAATACATGATTGATAAAAAACCCCTGGGAACAAGGATATAGCTTCTAAGCTGATTTTTAAATTCACCATACGAAACACAGCAGTATTAAGCTGCTATTTTACGGCGGTATTCTGTGAGAGCGTGGTTCTACCCGGTCGAGTCGACCAGTTAGTGTCACAACCATAATATAGCTGCAGCATCTGTGAAACCACGTGTGAAAACAAGATGAGGTGATTTTTGATATCTCATATTATCTAACGCAAAAAATAATCGACCGAATCGAAAATATAATATCAATCAATTAACATCAATGATGCAATATATAACTTTGTAACGACGTTACTTTCGGATAATATGAAGTCCCAACATTGTTGTCACGAGCAGAGGTGTTACTAAATAAAATATTCACGAGAGAAATTGAACCGGTGCCTAGACTGCTACTAGCCTAAACTTAATAGATTATAATATCTCTATCTATTTTATAAAACTTCATCACTTCTATTTGACGCTCGTTAACTGAATCAGATCTCTGTGAACTAGCTTGGAATATGGAAGCTTCACTTTTGAAGTATACTTAGAAAATCAGTGAAATATAGATTATATTAGAAAATCTCTTCTCTACATAGTATAAAACAAAGTCGTTTCCCGCCGTCTGTACACTTAGATCTTTTAAACTACGCAATGGATTTTGATGCCGTTCTCATCAATAGACAGAATGATTCAAGAGGACACTTTATATGTATACATGCATATTATATAATTCTTCTGTCCGTGTATATGTTACTGAACTTCTCCTAAAAGACTGGACCGATTTTGATGAAATTTCGTGTGTGTGATTAAGTTGATTAGGGAATGGTTTAGATTCACAATTGCCCCGGTAGGTGTCGTTGTTGTCGAGATCCAGAAATCAAACGTGCGAAGCCGGGGCAGATCACTAGTATAATATATTTATATTTTAAAAACTACTAAAAATATCATCAAATAATTTTTATTAAATTGTAATATAAGCTTGCTTGAAACTCATAGAAAGATGAGAGTAAGTTTGTACCCTTGGTGTTTGTGCTATACAAGCTGGTGTTAGTAACTCCACGATAACTCTCAAACTACTAGTCATCCCTAGCTACTACGTAAGCCGGTACTGGCAAGGATCCGGTCTACCTCCTTGCCGTCAGAATTTCTGTAAGCGGAACAAGGATTATTAATCCTCTCTGACGAGAGATGCGGAACCAGGAGATAAAGCGTGTATAAGCGAAATAAGCCGTCAAGAAAAACTAATCTTGATTAAATTTCTATGAGACTACATTATCCAAATCGGTTCACATAGAAAAAGTTTTGAGGTAGCACACATAAAACAATACAGTCGGATTGAGAACCTCCTTCTATTATTGAAGTCGGTTGAGAAAACATCATCAATGTAGTCGAAGTCAATTAAACACGCATTATTAAGGGTAACTCTAAAACTACGATTACTAGTTAGATTTTGATTAAATTTCTATGGGACCACATGAAAAGCACCAGGTTAGCTTACAAATAAATAAAGAATCATCAAAATCCGTTCACCTAGAAAAAAGTTCTGAGGTAATACACATAAAAAACATAGTCGAATTAAGAACCTCTTGCTTTCTTTGAAGTCGATTGATAAAATCAATTGCTGTTGTGGTTAGGTCTCGCAGAAAGTTAAAAATGGCTCAACCTAATTTGGTGAAATTTTTTGCGTGTGTTTGAATGCGTGGTTACGATAGTTTAGATTCACAATTGGACCCGGTAGGTGACACTGTTGTCACGTTACATAAATTACTCGTGCGAAGACGGGGACGAATCGCTAGTTAGTTTATTTTTAATTCTGCACAAAAGACGAGTTGATATATAAATTAATTTTTGATACTATCATAAATAAAAAAAATTGAGGTTGAGTAAACAATGATAAAATAATTACAGTTACTTTTAACTGCGAACTAATTAATTACAATTATTATATTAATCTCTTTACGAAACAAAGAATTTAGTTATTAATCAAACTCCTCATTTTCACACAGCACCAGGAAGTATCCGGTTGTTGACGGAAGGAGTACATGATATAAATCTACTTTAATTATTGTATGTATAGATAACTTAAAATTAACTTTAAAAAAAAAACTATTTTTCAATATGCATAACAATGAGGTTGTCTCATAGGTACTAACACTTAATAACGTTCTACGGTTGCTTTTTTTAATTATACTATATAAGCCAGCGTAACAAAAGCGTATTCACTCTTGCCTTGAAGACGCCCAGATTGTATTCGGACGGAAAGATAGACGCTGGCAAATTATTCCACTTCTTTGCCGTACGTATTAATAAAGACGACGAAGACCCACCGACCGCCTGGTTGCCCGTGGTTTAAGCTTTCTAAATAATTAACTATATTTTATGTTAGCCGTGTAGTGACGGTGTAAGATTATCAACTATCCCATACCATCCAGTGGGTATCATGAGAGGCGACAGAGGGAAACAAACCAGGAGGCAGCAGTATCTTTCTAGTAAAAACTAGAAAAATAATCTGCGGCTTGTTTTCTCTTTTCTGCCTCTCAATTCTTCTCTCAAGTCATAACTTTTTTGTAAGTGAACCGATTTCGATGATTCTTTTTTTATTTGAAAGCCGGCGCTTCTCATGTGGTCGTATATAAATTTGATCACAGTTGCCAGACAGACAGCCAAGCGTAGCAACTGACAAACCGCCTTATGGCGCATTCTATTGGGAGGCCTATGTTCTGCAGTGGACTTTGACAGGCTGTAATGGATGAATAAATGAAATAATTATCTAAATTTTATTTTATCTAATCTTGTATAGAACAGGCTAAGCCACAGTAGGTTCAGTATACCAACAATAAATTTCACATCCTATGTCCAACTAACGTTGAACTTCCCGAGGAGAGCTCGGCATTAATTTGGCTAGCGGCTCCGAGCTGCGTAGGAGCTTTCATCATCCCATTTCATCCCGTGGGTATCGTTTGATAGTCGTCACTATATATGTATATTATGCGTGAGAGTACATGGTTATACGAGGTTGAGCCACGCTGCTATACTATATTACAATTGTAGCAAGAATGGGTCGCCTCGTCCGGAGAACGCTCTCACAGAATACTAGCGTAAAATAGCTGCTTAATGCTACTGTGTTTCGTATGGTAGTCGAGTATAGAGAAACGGAGACCCTTTTTACTGGAAACGAGGCATTCTATCTTAGTCAGTAGGGTTCACAATGCAACTGCATCTTGATTCTTACTTGAGAATAAAAGTTGCCACATCCAGACAAATTTCACCACAAATATTCCGAGCCTCGTAGCCAAATGATTTCTTTTCTAGTTGGTAATCGATATTTTAAGTGATTTATTTTAAGAATGACATCAAATTAATTTCTAAATTTAAACTAGGATATCGCGTTGCATTGGCGCGAAAAAAAAAACAATCAAGGTAATTTTCTTTAATAAATATGAGAGCGAATGAGCCCAGATAATACTTATTACTTGCAACAAACTACACACAAAGGTCTTAGATGCGTTGTGATTCTTGGGGACTAAAATGAAATGCCCCATATGAAATTATTCTGGCTCTATATAACTCCTAATCGAAACACAGCAGTGTAGTGCAGTGCATACTAGTGGGCAAAAATAGGTTTGTAGAGTAGAACGATTAAAACAGCCAAGAAGGAAGGACAGAAAGTGAACCACCTCGTAGTATATAACTTTATATAACGTAAATGGACCGAGTACTGAGTAATGTCCTCAAGATCGAATTTCTGTCACGGCGGTCAGCCTCAACGGACACAAGCTATCGGCTACAGGACAGGATTATAGTGCCCGAGTGTATGCGCAAGCACAGGTGCAATCTCTATTCCCAGGAACAACGGCTTTACGCGCACGAGGGTGAGACATCGCCTGCGCACGCATCGAATTTCTTGATGCTGAAAAACTCGATCACGGATTTGAACTCGCGATTTCATTATCAGCAGTTGTACTATCATAAACACTGGACAAACGAGGCGGTCACTCGTACTGTGACTGCTTCGTTGTGAGTACTAAGTATTGACGAGTCTGTGAGACAGACAGATATTAGCAATAATCAGTCAGTCCTAGTCAGAATACTAAGATCGCAGTCATAAAATTGTTGTCATCGCTTCTTAATATGGCTGCAAATTTTTAGATTATTCAGACATCTAGAATTATAAAATTCCATAATGTACATATACACAGTTCAAGTTAATAAAAGCCTTTTAATAAAATAATTGTGAGTAAAAGTGTAATGTCTTCAGCATGTCCCGTTTATTTTACAAAATCCCGCTCGGTTCCGTTTCATTACGTTGGCGGATACCATGTGGCGTCGGAAATTTCATTTAAATATCATTTAGAGTTATAATATACGCATAAGTATCTCATTGCTAAATTTATCTCGTTGAAACGTTCACGACATTCTAAACTAAAATCCGGAGTTTGTAAAGAAATAAAATGTAGAATAGTTTGCAGCCCCATCTATCGGAAAGTATAAAGAATAAAAAATGGATTGTGAGTCACGATCACAGCGAAGCCTTTTAGTTGACTTTAACACGCATAGATGGCACTTATACGAAATGTATAAATTGTTCTTCCACGAACTTTACGTAGATTAAAAATATTATTTAATATAAGATCAATATAACGTTAAGAATTGATAAGTTTATTAACTTATATTTCGCCATTAGCCTAAAATAACTATCACAATCACTTACCTTGTCTGCGGGATGCCATATTTGATTCCGACTCCGACTCTTGGCAGGGCCTTGATCACCTTTTTGACTGTCGCCTGATCCGGAAACGCGAAGAAGATTGATGCTGCAAGCAAGAAATACGTCTTTAATATTAAATGATCTCAGAGATATTTCCAATAAAATTATGATATTTTTAGCTCATTACTTCCGTGAACCCTAACACATTCTGTTCGCTATTTTACCTCGACAACAACGTATTATATAACAGTGTCGACGATATGGTAGATAAATGTTGTATTTTCAGATTAAAATTTATAAGATAGATTTTACTAAGTAGCATTCCCGAATTGCCTAGGATCCCAAATGGGTTACCAACCCCCTTTTTTGCTGCCAAGTAGTAATACATAAATGCATCCCATTGAACATTTCAGTTTAAAGAGTAAGGAAAGCCAGTAAAATTACAATCTGTGAGGCATTTTAGTCCTCAGGGTTAATAAATAATAATGCATTTGTGGTCTAAGTATTTGACAGGGCTAGGCAGAACTGTCAGCACTTTTGTCCCTCCTACATTAACAAAAAAAAAACGAGCGAGCAGTAGTCGCATATGATATGTATTAATGTAATATCTCTGATATTTCACCACGGTAATTACCAACTGTAGCATTATATCCCAGAAAAAGTTATTTGTTTTTGTTTATATAAAAATTAAAATTAAAAATATCAATTGAGCAGCAAATGAAATTAACCACAAAATGTATAAAAGCTAAATACTGAACTATTTATTCGAATAATTATTTATTACTATGGTTGGTAAATTTAAAAAATTGTTTTTTTGTTATTAGTACCGTATATACTTTCATATGCATTTAGTTAAAAACTGTTATTTTGACATTACATACAGACACTTCAATTTTATTTATTTGTATAGATTACTCATTTGCATATTTTATCAATGCCCTGCACGTTTTTCAGACACTAACTAATTTTCAAAAGTAAATAGAAAGAAGGAAAGAAAAAGAATATTTACTTCGTCTCATAAGCACAATCATCGTAATCTCATAAGTACATAGTTGTTTCTTTAACGTTATTATTAATAACAATAAACGTTAATTAATGTTATTATTAATAGACGTTGCAGAATGTGACGGAAAGGGGTCGCACTCAGCATTTGACGTGGAGTACCACAGCCGCTGTTTTTCAGTGTGGCCCGTTTCGTCTCCTTCGCGTAGGTTATATAGAGAAACTATATATATATTAATACATTTATTAATATAGTTTATACATATAATTTAGTTCATATAACAGCACGCGCTCATTGGTCATAGTATACCTACTTTAGTATTTTTTTTTATAGGTGAGGGGGCAAACGAGCATGCGGCTCACCTGATGGTAAGTGACTACCGCCACCCATGAACAACTGCAACACCTGGGGAATTGCAGATGCGTTGCCGGCCTTTTAAAAACAAGTAGGCTCTTTTGTTGAAGGTCCCTAAGTCGTATCGGTCCGGAAAAATCGCTGGTGGTAATCGATTCAACAAGGAAGTTGTGCGAGGGAGAAAACTTCTTCTAAATCGCACAGTAGTGGACCGCCAATCATCCAGATGATATGGATGGTATCGCGAGTTTTGTCGCGATGTGCGATGGTGAAATTGAGCGGCTGGAATTAGTCCGAACAATTCCTCAGAGCACTCCCCATGATAGATGCGATAAAATACGCAAAGAGATGCAACATCTCTACGCAGTGCCAGTGAGTCAAGCCGATCGGAAAGAACTCGGTCGTCGACGATTCGAACCGCTCTGCGCTGGAA